TATGGGGAATGGATATGCAGCGTGCGTGTGTTATTCCATTAGGCTCATTAAAGTGTCATTTTGTCATCGGCACACTCTGGCGTTCACAGTTTGCCTTGTACGACTGAAGCAAAGGAGCCATTGTGGCCCCCCCCCTGTGTAATGTACAACTTGGATATTTTTTTTTATATATAACCAGCCGTAGCCATTTATCTTTGGGACAGTACGCGCAAGAAATCCACATTGAAAAGGATTGAAACGGTAGCCAATTATAGCCATGGTGGATACGTGTAAAGTACAGGTCAGCCCATTTACAGAATGTTTGGTGACACAGTGAATGTATATATATAGATTTCACTTCAACTTCTGAATTACAAGTCACTATACCTTGTGTCAGTTCCAAAGCTGTATAAATATCAAGATTTATGCTGGACCTAAATCAATGTCAAGAACACTGTAGCCATAAGGAATGTCAGATGATTTGCAGGGGTAAGCCAAGAGAGAGTAAAAAGTCAAATATTGTTTAAAACAGATTTAAAAAAAGAAAAGAATAAAAAAGCCAAATTACCTTATAAGTAATAAGTAACTGAAAGATAAGTTGTAGGTAAAGCAGAAACAATGATTAGCACTAAATTTTAAACTTTAGTGTGCGAAAAAGCATACGGTTACCGGGATCATACTCGCCTCTACACAGATATAACTGGCAGAATAAGTTACATGCTTGTTTCCAGTGTGAGTAACGGAATACTCTTTCTGTGTAACTGTAATCCCCTAACAATTACTACTTTAAAGTCTGAATAGAATAGAGTTGCTTTATGAAAATCCCCGGAATACATGTACTTTCCCACTTTACGTTTTGAGGCATCTTTAAAGCATTGATAGTTTTAGGGAAGAAAATATTTCACAATTCAATAATTCCTTCAGTCAGCATTTCCGATAATCTCAAAATCAGAATCCTTTTTATTGCCACGTAAGTAACAGGAAGTCACAGACTTGGAAATCTAAACTTTGAGTAAAACCTATTACGCACAAGTGAATATTAATGTACAAAAACAACAATTTGTTTCTCTAGATTGGACATTTTCTGCAAGGACCCACAGTTTGCACAACACTGGTCTATAGTTTTGGGTGGTGGGTTTTTTCTCTATTCCCCCCTTTCCACCTATGCAACGGGAGACCTGAGTGTGCACACATAAATTGCAGGAAAAAGGCTTTCACACTCGACTACAGTCTTGGCACAAGTTTTATCGAAAGTGTCTGTCCAGGATCCCGGTGAACTGCCTTTAGCCTCTCCATCCAGAAGTGCTTTTCCAACACGGCTAAAAAGCAAGCCTCCAACTCAAGAGTCCCACACTGGGAAATCAGAGCCGCGTTCTGCCCATTCACACCTCCCGACAGTTCAAATGCATCCGGTTTGATCAATTTCCAAATTAATCCGCATAATTGAAGCAGACTTTGGGGGCGTATTATCAGGACGTTCTCGGAAACAATATAATATTTACAGGCAACAGTTCATATGGTGCGAATTGCAACGTAACCACAAATATGTAAGTCACGGTGAGCAGCTGAGAGTTGATACGCAAGTTCTGCTGGCACAGTGTTGGTTATACAATAAGCACTATGTGAATAATGTATATGCCCCATGGCGATAGTTGGGAAAATGCGTGGAATGAATATGACATGAAGTTGATAATAGTAAATCAAAGTAATTTCCTGCAGAAGAAAAATTAGCAACATGCCTTTTAGAATGGTTATTTTCTGCCTCAGGATTACACTGACCTTGCAACATGGGCCTAGAGAACAGATAGGTTCCAGATATAAAGAAACATTGTCTGCCATTGACGTGCAAAGACGTCAAATCAAATAGTACGGTTGTGTGCCATTGAAGTTTTAAAACGTCAAATGCGTTTGACTTTTTTCATGTTCCCAGATGTCTATTATATCTAATATGTATGAGGATTAGCTTTAGAGCATATTTTATCGAGCCAGCACTGCCTTTGCATGTTTTGCACTTGTTGCGCCTCTCTTTCTCAGCTCTTTGTCAAAGACTGGTGATTTCAGTGAAACTTCCATCTACTCGACTGGGGATTACAGGGGAACAAAACAAGCTAGAAACAAAATTCTTCGTGAAAATTCTGGTGAACGCAGACAGTCCATTCTTTCAGAATCTGGATTTTATATAGTCATAGTACACAATATCCTGTGGGTCTTGAAAAATCCATAAAGATCATCAGAAACTGCTGGCAACATGGGAGTACCTGTTCTGAAATGGGCTGGCAGGCAATGATTTCCTCAAACATTTGGTAGATCACCTTTTGAGTCAATATCTACTTTAAGCATGCTTGGAACTGGCATACGTTTTAGGCTCTTTTACCATCTAACTGCAAATCAACCATTTGGGAAAAGCCTATAATAAAATTAATAAAAAAAAAAAAAAGATTGATGTGTTATTGCTCCTACATCTTAGAGAATCCAATAAAGAAAATGATATAAATGTACTATAAATATAAATTATAAAAAAAATCATTTAAATAGTTTTCTTCAAGGAGTGAATGTTAAAGGGTCAATGTATATCTTTTAAGAGATGAGATTTTTTGACTAAATCTCATTTACAGTTTGGTATTTTCTTGAGCAATTCATGTGGAACACGGCTCTCATATCCAGTTTGTCTGGGTAAAAAAGATTAAAGCGGTAAGTGCTTGAGATTATAGCACATTCAAATAACATAATCACACAATGGGGGGAAAAACCAACCCCAAAAATACCGTTAGGGCCTGTTATTGGCTTCAGGTTCTTTGATTTGCGTAGAAAAAAGGGAAAAATCCTTGTTCAAATTTGTTTTTACTGTTCCATGTTTTTCTGCTGTATATGGTTAAAAAATATATATATATATTGCTAACACTTTATTTTGGGTTTGACAGCTGACCTGAGTAAGCTTGACTAATGCGAGCGAAGCCTCAGCTGAAGTCCATCCCTGAACAGTCTCCAGAGAAAATCAATGACCAAATGCCATCGTATTGTTTTAAAACCATCAGTAACACCAGTGGATGTGTCCCGGCTTACACACAGACATCTCAGCAGAACAAGCGCCTTCTTTCTCAGTCATTTTTTTTCCTCCAAAGCTTCTGGTACCTTTAGTGTCAACACAGGCAGTTCCACCCCACATGATTTATAGCTTTCCTGAGTGTTATTAAAAGGCTAAATGCAACTCTAAACTATATCCACATAGACCTGGTGCCCGGCTGAAGACCCTTTATGAGCGGAGGTGAGCACTGTGTCCTCTGGAACATATACACCGTTTATACATTCCATAAACATCGTCGTCAATTTATTTTTATGAACTTGTCGGTGATTATTACCTGGGAGCTTACGGAGAGAGGGGAGTGTGTTTTAAGCAGAAGATACAATGGGAAAAAATACATTACAATTGTAAAAGGGCCCATGTTAGATGAGTTTAAACTTTTTTTTTAAGTCCTATCATCTTCTGCTAATGTAGATACATCCAAAGAATATTATCTATTTATTAAATTATTTCATTGAAAACAATTGTTTGAATATATATAACCCTTGTGCTATAATCGGGTCAAATACCCTAAAAATAATAATAATTCCGAGCAGAATTTTTATGACTTTGCCTAACTTGACCAGCCCTGGGTCATTCAGAAACTTCAAAGGCCGTTTAAGGATTTTTTATTCTACTTTTAATCATCTCATTTTGACCCGAGGGTGGCCCAAGGGTTAAGGGGTTGTATTTGTACAATAACAACAGGACTCTTTGACGTATTCAGTTAAAATGCTTTTTTTTTTTTTGTTGCAATATGTGGCCAAAACATGAAAACAAAATCTATACCGCCTCCACGCTCAACAATCTGCCCCCTCAGCTTCCATCGCAATTACATTTCAGCAGTCAAGCAGTAGTTTATTTCCTTCATGTTTTAACCGATTGATACAATAATAATTAAACAGTCCAAAGGCATAGATTGATAACCAGATATTTGTTCAGTCTGCCTCAGGGCATCTATAGTCACCTTCCAACTTCTTTGTCTTAAGAGAAAAAACATACAACAACCGTTTAATTCCATGACATTTAATTGCAAAGAAACCAATAGCAAGATGTGTTGAAATGTAGCAGTTTTGCCTCATGAGAAACCATCTTAACATAAGAAATTGAATGTCACGGGGGCAGCATGCCTCTGAAGAATGCAGCTAATACAAGACAAATGCAGTGGTTTCCATTGGAGCATGCCAGACACCGCGGTCAGCTCTTTTCTGCACTCATTCATTACGTTTAATTTGATATGATTCAGCAAAATAACTGAGAAAATGACTTATATACACACACCACTGTTTAGTTATATGCAAACATGTGTGCATTATCATAGTTTTATCATTAAAAGTCTGTTTTATATGGAGGAATCAGATTGTCATTGAGGCTATGGCAGCAGTTTTGGGAGTAATACTAATCTTAGTAACAAAACAAACTTATGCAACTGTCACTGTGTAGGAAACATAACTTAAGTCCACTTAGGAAAAAAGACCCACATAACTTCATTGATAACATATAGTATGAATCATAAAGAAGTTTTTTTTTCACTCACGACGAAAAAAGCAACTAATCATTTTCAACTGGCATTCTAAAAGACGACAAAAAAATCCTATAATCACTTTTTAATGTGTGGTTCTATTTACTTTACTTTAATACCCTTTAATTGTGTGTGTGACAGCATGTGTCTCCCCAAGAGCCACTTTGCAAGACTTATCTCCTAATCAAACTTCATTATGCAGGCTTTAATGGGGACAATTGCCATCCAGCTGACCAGTTAAGAGCCATGCATTGTCTCCCAGTGGAGTCAAGCCCCGCTCGTGCTGAGGGAGCCCAAAACAAAAGAAAGGGATAATCTAAAAAGCCAAAGATCATTCATAGGAGGGGGGTCAACTGTGATGTAGTATAGTTTGTAGAAAGAAAGCGCGGAAATACATTTTACAAGGACTTACCAGATGTGCTGAAGTCCACGGCGCATATGAGAAAGAGCGCGATCCAAAGAGAACCGGCTGGACGTCTCCTCCACCGACACGGGCTCACGTCTGTCCGACTTGGGTACATTCCTCCCGGCTGCGCACATCCACCACCAACGCGAATGAGAGGCACCTTCACTCACAACCGTGCCACCGCCGCCGCTCCTGCTCCTGCTGCTGCTGCTGCTGCTGCTTGGGGAAAGTTAAAACTCTTGGAAAAGTCAGTCACGCAGATGTTTTGTCTCCAGATAAAGTCCCCAGCCCGTGCGTAAAGGATGTCCGAGGTGGGTGCGCCTGTCCCCGGTGTGTGGGTGAGTCCTGTGCGGTGCTGGTCCCGGTGTGGAGCTGCCTCTGTCCCACTGAGCGTGTCTCTGTCCCTCAGCAGACTGCAGACTGGAGTGCGTGGAGATAGTGCTGCTGTCCACACGGTCCACATGGCTCTGGTTAGAAGACACGCGCCATCTAGCGGCGACTGTAGGAACGGGCGCTTCGAAGTGAAGTTTGTTATGAGTCATTAGATAATTTCTGTATTTTTTACTGAAATGCCCAAATACCAAAGTTTATCAAAAGAGTCAGAAAAGAAGTGTGTTTTATGTTTTGAAATATTTATACAGTATTTAAAGGCATGCTGGTAAAATTGACTACATCTAGAATGACAACAAACCTCCACACACTTTTGAACAAAACAAAAACATTTAAATCCTTGGTACCTAACTTTTTTGTTTCATACAGAAAATATTGTATTTATCAAAACAGAACGAGTCTTGGAAGAAATAAGTGAACAAATCATACCACAACATTCATCCTCAATCTTTTGACATTTACAGGTGGAAAAAAACAAATACTTTTTGATGCTTTGGCCTGAGAGCTGATTGGCTGAGTGAGTGTGATCCTCTCCTTTTACATTTTCCGTCGGATTTTTTTTTTTTTTTGAGAGCAAGATCAATAGATTTTAACATGTGTTTGTGGTTTCTGTAAGCAACTGCACATATTTTATAGAAAATAAGGTTGACATGGTGGCAGTATATACAAATTACAAAAGTGTTTAAGACAATATTCTTAAATGTGTATGGTTTATACTCAAAAACACAAATAGATGGTCAATAAATATATTTTTTGAGGTCAATGCTTTGGAATAAATAGAAAAGAGTGTGATGAAAAAATTCTGATTTCCTCTTAAATACATTTTAAAAACAGTAGCAGTGGTGACATATTGTCTGAATGTTCACAGAAACAATAACAGTTCATGGTCGGGAACCACAAATCAGAGCAGAAAGTGCTGTTGGCAAGAAAAAACAATACTTGGTCATTTGATTTTTCCATTACATGAATAATGGAACGAAGACAGTTTGGAAAACGCATGGACTTAAATGACAATAATTAGTGACATAAAATAATACTTAGGATCATTGATTTATGATTATGGTTTCATGAAAAAATAATTGTGTTCCAGCGGAAATCATTATCATCAGAGTTTATTATCTTATTATTTTATTAATATATTGAATAAAATCTTGCTAAATATTTTGTTTAGTCTATTTTTTATAAAACAGTGTACAAAACCATTAGTCTCTGTAAAAGAAGAGATGGTTTGCACCAGATTTAGCTGCAGCTACTTCCCATCTGCAGTCCCTGGGCAGGTGAACACACTTAGATACACACATCACAATTCCAAAAACACAAAAAATACCACCATAAATACATTAAATGTGTTCCTAAAATGGCATAAGCTACGATTAACAAAAACCATTTCTAATGCTATAAACGGTTATTGATGCTGACGACTGACTTTAAAATGTGCTTTTTCACATTTAGAATAAAATGTTTCAGATCTACAGAAGATTTCAGACTGTCTGAAGCTGATTCCACTGTTTATTGTTGCAAAATGACAAGGCCGATTGTGCAACAGCCGAATATCTTATTGGGATCACACAGTTTTTTGTTTACAGTGGAGTCGATGGAGATGTTTGTTCAGAGCTGTTATGATCTGTGCATAATTCTAATTTCTCCTCTTGACATTGAAATCTCTCCACTGAGGGACTGAAACCTTTACATGGGATTATTGTTGCACAGAACAGAATGTCCTTTTTCCACCACTATATTTGAAAATACTGAAAAATACAAAAAGGAAAATCTAAATCCTACCCAATAAAAATAAAAAATAAAGCAAAGAATATGGCACAGGCCTAAAGACATGGCTTAGTTTCTTTTTATTTCTGATGTTATGACTTCATATTCCTAAATATAGTTTATCCTTGTGGCTAATCATTCCAGGAAACCTAAAGTATTCTCTTGTAAAACACACAAAGAAAGGCTTCTCCCATGCTGCGTATAAGCATCATGTTAGAAATATGAGCGCGCAGACCATAAACCAATAGAGTTATTGCTGTTGAATTCATAATTATAATGTGGTGCGGTCATTAAGCCCGGTGTCCCGGTTTGCACCGCACTCTCGTAAGAAATGACGGTTTCAGAAAAGCTGCTTTCAATTAAGATCTGCTCAACTCTGAGTCATCGAGAAAATCACGTCATTAGACTGAGTTTGGTGCAGTATGAGCTACAGCTCTGACAGCAGCTTATCCACCGAGAAACATGCACCCAGCAGAGAAATGAAGTCTGGAAGGAAAGGAAAAACAACCGTGACATGACGCTGGCTTGTGGAGTGGACTTTTGTTGGTTTAAAATATGACCTTCTGAAAACATTTGTTTAAGTTTACATATACAAAGATTAAAAGTAGGTTAAATTCCTCAAAAGATGCAGTCTATTAACCTGATATTATTAAAGTATAGAAGGGAATTAATCAATGTATCAATATATCTTAATATGAGATTCAATGGAAGTAATTAAAGTTAGTAATGTGCAATTGTGACACATTGTGATCTACTTTTGACTGATCTGAAAGTAACAAAACTGTATGAGATCTTTGAATATTTACAGTTTTGAAAAGTAAGTCAATCAACTTCATTATAATATAATGTGTTAAAGATGCAGCATTCATTGAACAAACCATTCCATGTGAGGTATTACCTCAAAGAACATAAAATTTATCTTTTTTGACCCTTAGGTGCCAAAGACACAATCTGTTACTGATTTTAATAATCCTAGTAAAGCTTTTCCTTGTAAATATAATGTAACCTGTAACATTGTGCTCAAATAAATAAATAAATACAGACAAAAAGAAAACAGGGCTCCACCATGTTTCTCATAAATCGACTAATCTTTATTCATGTTGGCATTTCACAGATCAAGGTCACACAAGTGTTTTACAATGTTTTTGCAGAACTAACATTTTTCCTTTCACCGCACACGGTGATGATGGAAGCGAGATCCTCGACGCATTGAAGCCTTCACCACTCATTCACTCACTCATCACATTCATACTTATTGTACATGTTTTTAGTGGTAGAGAAAACTGGAGAAAACCTACACAGACACAGGGAGAACATGCAAACTCTACACAGAAAAGTCCTATCTGGAGGTGGAATAGAACCCAGGACCTTCTTGCTGTGCCACCCAGTTTTTTATTGATATATATTTTAAAGTAAGCTGCAATGTAATATTTTACATATTAAAAGTGTATTTTATACATTCTGAAGCAGGGTATTCATAAACTGTAAACTCCCCTGACCTTACATTACAGCAGTTTATGAGCAGAGGAAAAAAAAGTTATAATTTTGTATCTCCGGTTGTCTGTACTTACTTCACCACTGCTGATTAAGAGTAAATATATCATCCTGTCTGCAGCATGTTTTGAAGTGCTGACCTCAGATAAACCCTCTGCCTGATGCCAAATTCATCTATGCTGCTTTATTATACTTATCCCTGAAGACACTCAACTCAGATAACACACTTCCTGCTCATGTCCAATTACGGAAAAGCAAAATAACAGGATTTTGTTGTGTCCTGTAACATGTCTCAAAATGTTAGTATTAGATAGCAATATGGCCTACGTGCAGGACTGTACAAGGACTCTACAAGGACTCCATGTTATGACTATGATTTGACTGTCTCTTTGTGACACGTATGTCTTTCGATGTGTGACGTGACAATGACTATATAAACTGTGTACTGCCTTTATTCTGTCTGAGAGAAAGAAACAGAGTAAACCAGTGGAACTTGAGAGAAACTTAAATAAACTTCCAGAGTTTGGCACACCACGATCCGTCTCTGTCTGCCTAAATCCTGACAGATTTGGTGGAGAATGTGCGGCTCCGTGTGTGCCATTCTCTGGATTGTTTTGAGGGAGTTTGCTCTGTTTCTTTTTCCTCTGCGTGAGAGATCGGCATGCTGTGTCTGGGAGCGGGGATTCCAGCAGGCTGGAAGAGCTGTTCCTGGATGCTTCTTGTCGCTTCTGTCACTTTTGTTTTTTAAATTGAAGATTCCGACGCGGAAAAGAGTTGGCAGACCTCTCGGACAGTCCGTGCGCACCTGTTTGACAAGAATAAGGTAAGCAGACACCTTTTTTAATATGTAAAGTCTGCATAATTGGATATTAGCTAAATTTTGGTCTGTTTTTGGGGTCTGTCAAACTCTCTAAATTGTATTTTGAAGAAGTCTCGGGGTTAAAGTCCTTTTGAGCCTCGGGGTTAAAGTCCCTTTGAGAAAGTCTCGGGGTTAAAGTCCCTTTGAGAAAGTCTCGGGGTTAAAGTCCCTTTGAGCCTCGGGGTTAAAGTCCCTTTGAGAAAGTCTCGGGGTTAAAGTCCCTTTGAGAAAGTCTCGGGGTTAAAGTCCCTTTGAGCCTCGGGGTTAAAGTCCCTTTGAGAAAGTCTCGGGGTTCAAGTCCCTTTGAGAAAAGCCTCGGGGTTAAAGTCCCTTTGAGAAGAAGCTTCAGGGTTAAAGTCCCTTTGAGAGAAACCATGGTGTAAAATTAAAAGTAATTATAAAAAGGGAAACGTTAAACACTAAAGAGTGCCTTTTGTTACTAGTGTGGAAAGTGATCACTTCTAGATTTGGATGACAAAAGTATAAAGAACAACATCAGTTATATTCGCTTAACAAAGTAATCTTGAAAGTTATTCTTCTGTATCTTTTTGCCTGTGTGTGTGCGTCGCTCTATCTGCTGCCGTTGTCAGGGAAACGGCCCCCTCCTTCGCTGCTCTGAATCAGAGCAAAGCTACTGCTTTAGGATTTCTGGCTTTTCATAGTAGTTATTCCGTTAAATTTGCGAAATTTGCCATTTGAACATTGTGTTAGACACAGTTAAACGTTTTTAAACACCATTAGTGAATAAGTTTTGAATTAGTATGTTTTTGAAACCCAAATATTAGTGCTAAAAGCTGTGCAATTCTTTTTAGACCTAACATATTTCTAGATTCCATTCTTTTAAATCTGCTGCTTATTTTGTGAGTCCATTATTGTATCTGATATTTCATAGCTGTTAGTGAGAATTTTTTTTATGTTTTTATTTTAGTTACAAAAGCCGTTTTTCAAACATTTAAATTAGAATCTGAGTTAAAAGTGATTAATGATTGTAGACTTCGTCTAAAAAGAAAGAGGG